AGCGGCGTGAAGCGGCGTGGAGGCGGTGAGGAGGCAGAGTGGAGGCTGAGTGAAAGCAGTGTGGAGGACCACGAGGTGTCTGTGGGTCCGGTGGAGGCTGTGTTCAGACGCAAGATGACTACAGTGCATCGTGAAAATATCTGGGCAGCAAAGAGTTGACGTGGAGTGGGAGCCTAGTATGGGTAATGGCACGACGTCAAAATACGAGGGACAGAATAATTGAATTGAATTAATGCCTTATTTACGTGGCAAGACTCGGGCCATCAGTCCCGCTCATTCGTCTGACCACACAAATTTCGCTACGCTCCTTTCACCAACTAGCGAAGAAAGGGTGTATTTCTAAGGAAGGCGAAGGCAACTTGACGCGAGTAAGATCTGTGCGAGTGTGGTGATGGAGATGGCTGAGCGGTGTGAGGCTACTTGGGACGGCGTGGGATGTCCTCGGGTGGTGCACGAAAGAAGAAATGTCTTGTAAAACATGGTCGCAACATGGTGTTGGGGAGTGTTCTACAAGAAGCAATGAGAGGAAACGTGGGTCTGCGAGGGGAGCGTGTAGGGTGGTTGGGGCATCGACAGGACAGGATACGTTGGGTTTAGGGGGTGGTGAGGGACACTCTGGGTCGTAGGCTGTTGGGTGTTCGTGGGGGGAGTGTGGGTGATCTGGGGTGGACGAGGTCAGGGAAGAAAGAAGCTGAAGAAAGCGTGGGGTGCCGTGAATTGGAGTTTGGCGGTGAGAGACATGAGGGAGATGAGCATAGGGGTCGTTGGCGTATGGACGTTGTGATGTGAGCAGAGTGAGAAGAGACGCCGTTCGAAAGCAAGGGATGCCCTGGGTGGGAGACTGGCAGTGGACACGAGGGGAACGGGCATGAGACTGTTGGCGTTGTGTCGTGTGGACGGCGTTTGACTGGAGGGATGCTGATGCGGTGGCATCGCAAGACCTGGGTCTGCAAGCAACACGTCGTGTCTCTGAATTGACCGAGATTGCGCCCCCTCTTCGTCTTCTACCTGTGTTGATGTGGCCCCCGAGGCTTTGAAAAGACACAAGAATGATGAAGAGAGATTTGCTAGAACTCGCGGAAGGGGCTGACTGTGCACCGCATATGTAATATGCATGCGCTGATAATCCCCGCCATTCTCTGTCAGACGGCAGAGAGAAGAGCCAGGGGCCCTGGTGACGGCGGAGGAGGCAACAGGTGTTTGTGAGCGTAGAGGCCGAGTTAATAGCCTGCTGAGAGCTGGTCGCCAACACAGGTCTGTTTATCTTCCGCGTACGTGTTAACTATATCTCCCCTCTCTCTCTCTCTGTATCTGTCCCTCCCACTCTCTTTCTATTACACTCTTTGTTCTTCCCTCTCATGTCCTCTCCAACTCTCTCTCTCTTTCTCTCTCCGAAAGACTACGTGGACTTTGGGCTCTGGTCACGCTGCCAGAATGTTGAGGGACGGACGAAATAGGTGATCATTTCTTCACTCGGGTCTAAGTATTAGTAATAGTATTGTTTTAGACTGGGGACAGGATGGGGAAGAAAGGGTATACACAATTTCTAACCTGAGATTTGTGTAGAGTTCCGGCATATATCTGATATTGGTCGAATATAACCACGGAAAACGAACAGAATAACAGGCTCCTAGAGTTATCGTACCAAGACACTCAACTCATTCATTTATCTAATTCCCGATATCCGATACTGTCAGAACTCTCACTGAGGAAATTAATGTAATTGGACTTTTATTTAGTTTAGCCCTCATATATTTTTCTTTCATTCTTTGTTATTGCGTTTATCCCATGTGCAACTTTATCTCTTCGCTTTTTCACAACCTCGTTCATTACTTTTGTGGGCTTCATTCTTTTCAAACATATAGCCTTATCACATCGTGTCCCTCTTTCTTTCTCTATTTTCACGCCTGTATCCCATAGTTTTTTCTTTTGTTCATGTTTCGTGTTTTTGATTAGGTTTGCTACTCAAATCGGCTGAATGGTTTAGCCGCTAGCGTTGTTCACGGACGGACCGACGGTTTTCCATCATTCGATTCTTCGGTATCAAGGATCCACAAAACACGGCTTACAAGCCCCATTTATCTCTCGAATGACGCAATGCAGTTTTGCAATTTTTTACCGAGGTCCTGTACGTGGAACAATGCACAAGCCATCTAGAGGGAACTGTATGCGTTGTAAAAAATCTAAAATATCTTCCGGGAATCTGTAAACAAGTAATAAAGTGTTATGATTACACACTGTTTTCTCTTAATTTGATTTCAGAATAATTAATAAGTTCCATGTTACAATATTAAAGTTGAAATAATATGATTTTATTTGCTGTTGTTTTTTTTTTGTTATTTAAGGTCGCATCAACTACTAGGTCATTAGCGACCACTATTGCTTGTAATGGTATGGTAACTGTGGGTTGACACGATAATGATGATGATGATGATGATAGGGGGTGAAAGGACGGAACACAATACAACCATGCCCGAGGCGGGACTCGAACCCCCGATCCTTCGGTCCGAGTTCGCTAGGGCACTACTGCCTTAGCGGTCTCGGCCACCGGATCGGCTTATTTGCTGTTGTAATACGGGAATTAGTAACATTCGCTCTTTATCCGTATCATATACTCTACATTATAACCTCTGAAATTCATAGTTAGCTACCTAGGTCGAATGCTGTAGAAGTATTCTAGCGGGAGGCTGCTCTGACCGGTAGTTTTCCGTGACTTCTATCAATACCAGGCGAATGCCGAAGCTGTAGCCTAACGAACGGTTACACGAAGCGCGTGCTATCTTTCCATCATGTTCCTTATCCTATCCTCACTCATTACTTAAACGCACACTTCCATGCACACTGCAACACACACGTCGGGAGACCAGTAGTGCTTTCAACTTTTCCCTGCTGGAAGGGTGTCCCACTGATGGGACATGCCTGTAGGAGGGAAAGCCGCTCAAGGCGACACGTGGGTCAGCGCGCGATCTCATCATCTATCCGGGAAAGAGTTCCGCCATCTCCCGGGAAAAATATGCTCTACACTTACGGGACCAACGCTTGTAGCAAATTGTGTGTCCCGAAACACGAATCAATCAATCATCAATCAAACCCCAAAAAAGGGCCAAAAAAGTTCCCCCGTCTGGTAAACCCGGCCCCTCGTCTGCTGGCCGAGAGCAAAGCGCCGAGCGCAGCGGCACCTTGGCAGTCGGCGAGCGGGCGCGCTGTCCATTCTCGGGCTCGTTGGGCGCTTCCCAACCGCACGGCTCGACGCTGGAGCACCACGTCCGAGCAATTCGTTTCGCCGCCCCGCGTCAGTTGACGATTCCTGGCTGGCGCGGAGAGCGGAGGGCGACCCCACCTCGAGAAACGTTTACACGAGGACAGCTAGCTGGCAGACGCTTGTCTTTGTCACTGTCTTCAAAGAACCGCACTCGTGGAAACGCGCCGCACGCGTCGGGGAGACGTCTTACTAAACATTCAGAGCTCACCTATTGTCTTTTAAGAATATTGTACGATATGCTTACGATAACACAAGTAGCACTTCCGCAACAGATGATTGCGAAATTTCGTGCAATTGTGATGCCATATTCAATCAAAATATACATTTAACAGTTATTTGAAATGAAAAGAATTATTGATTTCACAGATTTGCCTCTATACTTTCGAGAGAAAGCGTCATGTATGTTGACCAAACCTCACCCTATTGACTTGGTTTTCTCTTTTAACGAATAACAATTCACATTAGGATTATTTAAATTGTTCACTAATTATTACACTTTCCCTCGGAGCTGAATGTTTATAGTGTAGAAGGGCTACACTCCAAAAAACATTTGTTTCTTCATACCAATCCAGAAAACGAAAAATATATATCACGTACCACCTTGTAATTTGCTACAATAATATTTTGGGAGCATTTAGTATTGGAGTATAACATGCGCGGGTAAAAGATATTTTATTTAATCTTCTTTGTTTCCGAAAATACGTGGAAGCCACAAACAACACAATGAAAACGCAGAACCACTCATTACAAACAAGCGATTGCCTTCTGCATCGTTTTCCATGCGACAGTCGACTGTCCCCGACGTCCACCGTCTACTGGCCTGTGTCCAACTGGAAGCACATCCGGCAAGTGAGACCGGCCAGTCCACTTCCTACGAACAGTCTTCTACGCGCCGTCCCCAGCTCTTTACACGACGCCGGCCGCTGCCTCGCCCACTGTGCGCCGGCAGGCGGTTCTCGTGCAAGTGGTGTTTCACGCGTTCGCTGGTAGAAACTCTGGTCGCCAGCCGGAGTACGCCAACCGCGTGACTATTCCACCCAGTGCAATGGACAGCGGAAACGCGAGGAACATATTGCAAAGAGAATTACAGTGTCGATTTTTAGCGCTTTGTTCAGAAGCGTGTGTAATTTCTATTGATTCACAATGTGAATCTACAGTATATCTATTGTATTCTCTATCGTATTCTATTGATTCACAATGTGTGTCTACATTGTGAATCAATAGAAATTACACACGCTTCTGAACAAAGCGCTAAAAATCGACACTGTAATTCTCTTTGCGTCGCACAGGCAACGAAGAATCGTGATGACTGGCCCCATTAAGAGTCGTTTTGATTGTGTGAATGCATCAATGTTGAAGAAACTCTGCAAGAAATAAAGGAGTTGTAGCCGTACAACGAAGGTAGGAGAGTGGTGTCTTAATATTAGTAAATAATTTCGTTGTTGGAGAAAACATTCTTACAATTAACTGTGAAGTGACTAAATCGAAATATGAATCGTAATAATTCTTAACTTCATTAGGGCGATAAACAGAAAATAACCAATCGAGTTTGTTATTTATGTAATCGGCCGTGTGTTGTTTCATACTTAACATAATACCATCTTTTTAAAAAGAAAAAATCGTATGAACAAGAAATACCATTTCCTAGAAAAAGTGGACTCATACGGTATCTTTAGCAACAACTCGTTTGTTTCGATTGGTCTTGTACGGACGCTGTACATTTACGACCTTAACGAAATCTGGCCGTGAAGAGTGACTTCGTTTCTATGTGATTGCGTTAAGTCTATATATGAGCTGTACAGAATCAATAAATATATTTATTTTAATTCCTCTGTTGCAAAACTTTGTTACCGGATGGTTAAAAATTTTAGAAGAGTTAGTTATGTTAAAATGGAATAAGCAGACATTTTTAATTATTTTCATTTTCTCAATCATCACCATCTTATTCTCCTTGTCGTTCTTCTTCATCTTGATCTCCTTCACCTTCATTTTCATCTTCTTCTCTGATGGTGCGCCGGATAAATCGGGTTCTGGCTTGTCAACTGCAAACTCGCAATATTGCCGCTCATTCGGGATTATAAAAATTAGGCGATGTGAAGCTGGGTAATGAGTCCACCGCCAGGATTGTGATTTTGAAAGGAAGTATCGCGCATTGTCCATGATCTTTTTGGCGATAGTACTCCGGCATGCAACTGCAATGCAACACGACTGATGAGAACAATCGGCCTCTGAAATTTCCATTTAGTTAAAGGCTACGGGTCACACGAACGACCTCTTAAAATGGTTTAGATAATTCCTCCAGTCTCGTATCAAGCGTGAGAACTGTCTGTGCCCGAACGAACACTCCCGTACAGAACGACGGACCCGCCCCCACCGAAAACGGAATACAAGAAGTTTAGGCGAAGTTACAGAATTATATCATTAAATGTGAGTGAAGACTTATGAACAGGGGAAGAAACAACCAGACGGATAGGCGAAATGGCAGTATGACTTTATTAACCACGTTTCGAATATTAGAAATTATGGGGGAAAATCCGTTCAAACGTTCATCATTAAATAACCTCTGAGCTACGCGTGAGGGCAATTTAAAACCAAACACACGATATTACAGGCAACAAATATAAACGATTGTTTAGAGGCTAACAGAATTGATGAGAATTCTGACCAAACATTATTTTGCATTCAGATATTCATTTCAATTCTGAATGTTGCCGATTGAACTTCACGGAAAAAATTAATATATCACTTTATTATTTATAATGAAAAAATAATAAAGAAAAATCACAAGGGCCTGTTTCTTAAATATTCGATTAATGAGACGTTAGTAAACGTGTCATTAAGATAAATGTACTGTAAAGATACGTTTCGATTCAGCAACGTTTTCTCAACCTCTGTAAGTTAATCGTCAGTTAACTTTCAGACATGTTCCAAATTCTTCAATATTCCTACATAGAAAGCAGTAAACTGAACAATCTGTTGTAATCGTAGTTTT